CAAAACAATGAGCTGAAAGACTGCAGAGCAGAGGGGAACTACAGAGTTTTCACATTTAATATAAAAAGATGGATTTGTGTAGCTTCAAACTATTTAAAGTGCAGGGGTCTGCTTTTTTCCTACTGTCTTTTGGTTTGGGGTGAAAATTATCTTGAAAAAGAAACTCTGCTTAAAGCAGCATTAATGTTTGCTATATTAAGACTGAGTTGTGAAAAAGGCCCTTGAGCTTGAATACATTTAAGTGGAATGTTGAGAAATGAATAAATAATAAATAATAAGTAAATCTATTTTAGACTTCTAAAGCTTCTTCCATATTAAAACCACACCGGTATTAAAGTCATCATGTGCTCACCTGCAGCATAGCGGCAGCCAGGTAGACGGACATAAAGATGGGTGTCAGGGTGGTGTGTCCACTCTTCATCAGGTGGATGGTGTAGAGGAAGATCAGGTGACCAGGGATCACCAAAAGGAGGAGCACCTGAGCAGAGCGATGATTGGCTCCTGAGAAAATACATAAAGGATGGAGAGAAGGAAGGTTAAAGGTGAAAGGAAAGGGAGGGAGAAAATAAATTGTGCACGTACTCTATAAAATACATGACTGAATAGTTTGGTGACAAATTGGGCTGTTCGAATCAGCCCACCTACTGTCCCCTGGATTCAGAGTCCTGCTGGTTTTCATTCTAGACTTCTAACAAGGAATTAATTGAGACCTGGGACAGCAGGAGATGGCAATTAACCGCCTGGTAGGACAGAAAACGGGCAGCACTGCAGCTCACCAGGAACAGAGCTGAAAACCACTGTTTCAAACTGTGAATTTAAAGCCTCATTATAATCCTGACAGCATTTCCATTGACTGTGATATCCAAACCTACATTAAACATGTGTACTTGTGTGAAAGCCATTTAAAATGTGTCAGGTTGAGGACTTCTCATCAGCAACCAGCATAGTATTAATAACAGCCAAAAATAAAGATTATAAGTGCTTTACACCTATCACCTATCATTTTGGAGCTGGACAGCAATGCCAATTCAATATGTGGTTTTATGAAATTGTCAGTACTGACCTGTGCCAAAGAATGTACGGCAGGGGTAGTAGCAGCCCTTGGCCTCTTCAGGAACCTCCCCAGGGGCACAGTGGAAGTGCAGGTGAGTGGAGATCCTGCTGGACTGAATAGCCACCAGGTTTCCCCCGATTCCTAGACAAGATAGAAGAGTTCCTGGTTCATGATTGGAGGAGAGCATTCGGTGTTGTGTGTCCGCAAAGACAGATTGGCAGGTAAAAGTGGCTATTTATGACCTTTTAAGTAAGAATTGTGTAAGGCTACTGACCGACTCTGCAATTCCAAAAACAATATTGATATTTAAGTAAAGAAAAAAAAAACATTATATGTATAAGAAAAAAATCAAAAATAAAATAACCAAAAGCTTTAGAGATTTTCTGGAAATTTAGTAAAAATTTGAGCTATGGGTGGACGGGAACATGGCATAAAAG